AGTCTTCCCTAACCTGATGCCAAAGAACCATCAAATATGTAAGTGAGATGCAGTGAAAACAGGCTAAGAAAAGCTGTGCAGGATCAGATGAAGGACAAATCTAATCGTGCCTTCTGCTCCCTTTATGGCTATGAAAAAATAGTGAAAAATTGACAAATATATGAACACACCTGGTACTGAAAATTCATTCATGCATATTAATCTGATATCAGAGATAACCGAACCATACAAACTAGTAGTCTGATAGTCTTTATCCTCTATAAATGTATTGATTTAATTTATATTGCATTTTGGCTTAATCCCTTACTTAAAAATTATCTAAATTGATGGTTACCACTGCAACTATGTTGGCATAGTCCTAAATCCTATTCAGAATATTTAACTACGCAGAAACAGGCATGGCCTTATCTCTTTACTTGCCCAACTTCCCAGCTTTGCTGCATAAGGGACAGAGTTTGAAAGATAGGAAAATAGAAGTGGAGGGGAATAACAATGCTATCGTACAATTACTGTACACTCTGTCCTAGTTAAATACTTTAATTGATAGTACTACAGTTTTGAGATTGTTTTTCTCTTTGTAATTGTTCTAGCTGCTCACATAGAACTTAAGGTTCCATCTTATATATCGTATCTGTCTTCCTGCATTTTATAAATTCACTCTGCCAATAATTTGGTTGGCCTGCAGAACTAAAAGTAAATGGAACTCAAATGCCACAGTTTATAAAACAATTTTAAAAATTGTAAGCTGCAAAATGTTTGGGGGAAAAGCCAAGCACTTACTATCTTGAAACTAGTACATTGGGTCGTCTGTTGAAGATATAAAAATCTGGTTTGTATAGTCTTCTGTATTTTCTTGAATACCCAAGACTACATGTAGATTACTGTAGTCTTTGAATTTTTGTTATGCCCTTAGCCCCCGTTTCTGTGAATTAAATTATTCATGAATGTACACTGGAGCATTAATCACTTGTAATGATTCATGAATGAGGTTATCTAAAAATGTTAAACCCTATGCTGTAATTATTCACGCTGACAGTGTCTTGACATAAATCTGTTTGAAACTTTACAGTTGAACTGTGAAGCTAATTTATATAGAATTCTCTTTGAGAATTGTGTCCTGAAAACAGTTGAGTTTACTGAGCTGTCCATTTTTTTCAATGATACACATTTGTGATGAAGTCATCGCATGAACTAGAGTCATAATAACCCAGCAAGAAACAAACAGAATTACCGTGTTTTATATAACTATTTTTAAATTTTAAAGGAAAAGCATGCTACCTGACTCATCATTTAATGCAGTGTCAACTGCATCATATGCTGCCTTCAATCATTTGTTCAAAAACTATTTTCAAGTGATGTGGCAAAATTTTATTAGTTTTATTAGTTATTAGTCCAAATCATTTGGGTATGTTCTACTTCACTGGTGATGTCACATGCAGTGATGTAAACTGTGTTTAATGGATTAGATATTAACCAACTGCACTCTTAACTGACTGAACAGTAAAATGTATGCAGAAGGATATGAACATATCCAGTTACATGTCTTAATCTCAGTGAGATTAATAAAGGGGAAAGTATTTTGCACACAAAACGAATGTGTCTATTAAACATTTTTATGTTATGTTCATAACTTGTTTATAAAACATTAGCATTTTAAAAGGATATTCATTAGCAGTATGTTTTTTATATATAATGCAGCCTGAAAATCTTCCTCAAGTTGCAAATGCAGATATGCCTTAGGAAAAAGAAATCTGATAAATGCCAAAACAGCAGCATCAATAATGATAAGAGTGATTATGTTATTATTAATCAATTCTAACAAAGTGACCCTTAAACTTGGGATTTGTCATTTAATACCATTAAGGGCAAGATCCACAGAGCCCCACAGAAGCATCGTTTATAAATGAAAACTAGAAAGTAATTTCAGAACTATAGAACATCTTTGGCAATGCAATCTGGCAGTCTAGCATATTGGTCAGGCAATGTCACTATAGTTCCTTCATCTAATATTGCGAATTAAAGAGTCAAATACATTGAGTTTAAAAGTTTGATTGCATTCTGTAAAGTTTAGGGACAGAATCATATATATTTATTTATTTATTTATTTATTTTATGAGACTTATATACCGCTTTAAGTGCAAGCACTCTCTAAGCGGTGTACACCAGTAAGCAATGTATATATATATGTATGTATGTGTGTGTGTGTGTGTGTATGTGTATATATATATATATATATATATATATATATATATATATACACATACATACATACATACATACATACATACATACATACATACATACACATTGCCCCCAACAATCTGGGTCCTCATTTTACCTACCTCGGAAGGATGGAAGGCTGAGTCAACCTTGAGCCGGTGAGATTTGAACCGCTGACCTTCTGAACACAGTCAGCTAAAGTGGCCTGCAGTACTGCACTCTAACTGCTACGCCACCTCGGCTCATTAAAACTATTATTTTGTATTTTTTCAGTTATACTATTATTTTCAAGTTATATAAAGTATATAGAAAAAAACTTATTTTTTCAGTTTTTCTGGTCTTTTATAAAGTTCTGTGCATATGTGTTAATACTGGATACTACAATTGTTTCTAAGAGAAAAATCCCTTCTTTTAGTTTAAGTTTTCTCTAAACTGTTCCTCTCCATGTTGATTAGAAGTTTGAATATTAATCCTATCACATCTGGACAGCATTATGTTAAGGGTGGCTGGTTTTCTATTAGTGGTTATAGTTGCTTGCTTCTGACTCAAGGCATATTTAAGAACTTTTTAAATTAGGCTGCAATTCTTTATCCAGTGTTTGGAATAAAGCCCCCTTGAATTCAATAGGATTTATTGTGAATATATCTTTAGGATTGCTTTGTTGTATTTGATATAAAAGTAACAACACTATGTACTTTATTTCTCAGTCCTAAATTTCTTTGGGTGGAGGAATTAATTTAAAAAACAGTTCCACTTTCTTTTTTTTTCATATGTAGTAGCAATTCTTTCACACTTCATGGTGGCTCACATAATTCTATTGTTAATAGTTTACTGTTCAAATATTTTAGATAAAATAACTTTGCAGCATTCATTTGAAACTATAATTAACCCACTATAAATATATTTAAAATTCATGATGTGATATAAATAATATAAATTCAAAATTAAACACATGAACTGATTAAAAACACTTTAAGAGAAAATTGTGCAGATATTGTTGAAAAATGCTGTTATCCACCTAGTAAGATTAATCTATTGCTAAATTCATTTTTGCTGCTTATAAACTGAACATAAATATAACAAAAACTAAATTTTATTGTAAACTTTAGTAATAGACACTCATCTACCTGAAACATGGAAATATTTTATGTACACATGGGCGCATGTGTGCGCACACACATACATGCAGCTATTAGTTTTATCTTTCTAGTTTAACATCTCTATTAAAAACTTAGTGAAATTATTAGTATATGCATAATGATGGAATGGCCACATCATGTGATGCTTGCCTAGTAAATTTTCATCCATAATCTTGATCCCAACCTACATATGTTCAGAATCAGGGATCAAGAACATATGACAGGTATGAGCTTCAGAATGCAGAAAGGTAAGGAACACATGGACAATTCTTTGTATCATTGTTTGTATATGTCTTAACGTTATTTTACTACATGCATTTACTTTCCAAAATTGGGATGCAATGGAATGATCTTCTAATCTCTTTTCCAGCTACTAATGAGTTAAATAATCCCCTCTGTGCCTGTCAAATCTAACCTATTTCAACCGGCAAGGTCGAAATTATACCACTCCACTGCCTGCTCTAGATTTGCAGTACGAGGAGAGACTGCTGCTGCTCCTTTGGGACAGGATCTTTGGAAGCACGTTCAGAGAACCACAGCATTTTGTTCCAGGGCTTTCCAAAGACGGTCTGAAGCTTGCATTTGAACTCTCCAGCCTTTTCTATCCCTGTCCTCCAAAGCCAGGCTCTCTAGCTGCAATCTTTGCGCCCAGTTATTATTGGAGCTCGCTGTAGCATTTTATTAAGTGGCGAAGCCGAGGTCACAGGAGAGGATTTTCGTGTGCTAAAGACGCAAGGCGGACACCTCCCCCCTCCCTGGTAGCATGAGGCAGCAGGACGCAAGGTCCCCGCGAGCTGGCCGCTGGAGCTTTGGATCCCGATCCGAGCTTTTTGCCCTCTTTTCCGTACCTGCTTCATATGAATGGGGTTACCTGGCTTAGTGGGCTTTAAAGGGGGAGGAGGAACAAAGGTTTCGTTCTTTTCGGAGAGCGGTTCTCCTCATACACCTCCAGCTTCAAAGCCTAGATAATCGCATCACGGAGGTCCGCGGTGTGTCTTTCTGTGGGAAGTTCTCTACCGCACTCCAACTTAGCGGCACGTTTATTTACTCGGGATAGTCTCCGTGATCATGCAGCCCGAAGGGCGGATCTCACTACGGTCTCATTTCTGGACGAAAAACGAGTAGTAGTAACGGCGGCGGCGGCGGCGACGAAAATCTTCAGAACCAGCGGAGAGATTAGTTGCAAAATCTACGCCCGGGAAAAGCAGCAACCCGACCGCCTCCGTACTTCGGGGAGTGAATAGTCAGTCACCCAATTTATGGGCATTTTTTTCTAGAAGAGTGCAATTCGAGGCCATGTGAAGTAGTATTCCCTTAGCTCTCCGCACCCCCGCTCATTTCCCGTGAAACTTGTAAGGTGCAACCGATGAATGTAGGGGAGCCACGTCCTATTGCATAACAAACCGCTTTCTGTCTCCTCCGCCCTCCCCCCTTGAAATGTTACGCGTCTCGTATATGCATGCTCATACTTCTCTCCCTGCGAAGTTTTAATTAGGCAGCCATGGTAACTCACTATTCTCCCGAAGCCTCATTCCAGCATGATGTTGAGGCTTGTCAGGCACTCTGATCCTTGGGGAATCTGGGGGCAGTGTCTGCAGTTTTCCCAGAATTTCGGCTGATTTGCAGCGCAAGGTTGCTTACCTTACAGCGTTTCCTTAGAAATAAGTAAAGGTCAGTGCAGTTCCTTTGCGATGATGCATCTCTATCAGCTCACTTCTGCAAGCTTGCAGAGGAACGATCCACTCTCGCAAGAGCATCTGCTGCAAGATAACACCAAGGAGATTTAAAAAAAAAAAAGAGGAAAAAATCTTTCCGTAGACCCCAACCACTATCAACGCCTGCTTTTTTCCTTCTTCCTCATTAGATTTCGCAGTCCAACATTAATGCATTCGTGAGTCGCGGAGGCAATTCAGTGCCAGAGTAACAGCAGAAGCCACGCAATCCTGGAAATGTCCTCATTTATTGAACTCCCACCAATGAGATCTCAGATCTGATTAAAAAAATAAAATGAGGGCGGGAGGCTGTTATAGGGAGAAAGGCGGAGAAGAGGAGGGGAGCAGCGGCGGCGGGGCTCCCGTTTTCGGCAATCCCGGTTTCAAACCTGACTCCAAGAGCTGTTCACTTTGAAGCATTCCCCAGTTTTGCAGACGGAGGACTCGGAGAAGCTGGCTTTCCTCCTACTTTAGGAAATGCACGAGAGAAAGGAGAGCGCGTGCGGCCAGCCTGTCTGCTGGTGCGAGCGGGAGTAGGGCTGTGAATGCGCGCGCGCGCGCTTCGCACCGGAAAAGAGACGGGAACTGCCGCTGGTTCTCCACTAGGGAGAGTTCGCGCGTTCCTCCAGCGCAGGGAGACCGAGAGTAGGGGACTTGTTGAATTTAGGGCGAGCAGCAGCCCTTCAAACGAGGACTCTTCGTCGAAAACAGCGATGCCACATGGCCGAGCATCGGGAAATGACGGGCGATGGCACAAACGGTTCAAAACTCTTGACTGACTCTTAAAAAAACAAACTCCGTGCTTATTGTTTGTCAGTAATACAGTATTACCCAAGTACATTTCGGGGCTCCGTGGAAAGATGGGCAAGGATCATTTGGGTTCTTGACCAACAATATGCAACTTGCAGAACGAATAATGAACAGCGGGACGAAAAGCAATGAGGCTTCTTTACTTAACTATACTAAAATCTACTGAGTTTGTTTAGTATTATGTCTCCTTGTTTCCGTGTTTATTTTTTGAAATTATTTCTATAGTATTATCGAAGCTACAGAACTCTCCACGCTGGTTGGACCAGTTTCATGTAACTTTAGAAAGTTCGTTTAGTTTTGCAGGAAATATTGAACTTGGATATAAACAGTACGTAACAAGTATTTTGAATAATTTGTAAGGATTACAATGCAGTGCAGTGGTTAAACTCACTAGAGAGATCCAATGCTTATAAGATCTTATGTGGGATCCCTATTGCGCGTGTTATAGATCTGTTTTTATACATAATTTATTCTTCTGATAGTTTTTAGACACAAGTGGCAAAATCTGTCCCAGGGCCCTATCCAACTCTCAAAGTCTGCCTTAACTACATATTCAGGGAGTAATTGATGCGTGCAGTTGTTTTCTTTGTCCCATGTACGAACTATAATTCTCAGAAATTGCCTGGACTAGTCCCCTGCAATTTTCTTGGCCAGATTTTTTCGTAAGTAGTTTCCGTTGCCTTCTTCCTAGGACTGAGAGAAAGTTACTGGCCCAAGGCTTTGTGCCTAAGGCAGGGCTTGAACTCATAGTAGCTTGATGTCTTAACCAATACACCAAAACTGGCTATCATGCTTTCTTTACTCTTGTGCTAAAACTACTCAGACTTTTCACTGCATTAATCATAACCAGTAACCAGCATCATTAAATAGGAAGCAGAAAAAGCTGCCTTTTTTTAAGAATGGGAGATCTATGGAATAATATTTTGGCCTGAACTATTAGTTGACTTAATGTTTTCTAAGTGGTTAGTTTTCATGACTTTTATATGAGCAAGATTCATAGTTTATGCCAGCTTTGATGCAACCTCCTCATAATTTCTCTGATGATTGCTGTAATATCATGCACTGACAAATTAAATTATGGATGACTAGGATAACAGCTATTATAATCTGTTTATTAAATTTCTGCAAAGCATACATTGTCATACTGCCTCATTCTAGCAATAAGACAAGATAGAGCTATATTTATTTTGCAAGGAACTAAATGATGCAGTCATCCCAAGTAGCTGATACCATGGTTCAAAGATACCAGTTAACCTTCAGTGTTTACCATGGGTGAACAATAAAAGAGAGCTTTTTACATTGTCAGTGCTTGAAAATGTTTTCCATTGCAATTATATTATGAATAATTAGTTATCTGTTGTCTTCATCTGCAATCAGGCTGCTAGATCTGAAAGGTGATGTTTAATTTAATTAAAACTTACATTCTGAAAAAGTAAGACTTACCAATGTGGTATATTTGTAGAGAAGGGATTATTCGGTTAATGATAGTTTTAATAATTAAGTTTTAGTATCATAATTATAACTGCAGTGTCAGAATTCAGTTTGTTTATAACCCATCTATACCGATCTATTCTTCATGCATTGCTATATTAGCAGCCATCTTGCTTAATGTACATTTCCACAGTGACGAACCTGTGAAGTTACTTAATTTTGTTTAACTGTCTCATAACTGGAGGTTCACTATACATCATGGACTAACAAACAAAGATAGCAAATCTCTATTAATTTGGGTGACAAAGCTATGTGCTTTACATTCCTTGTTCTACTAACCAATGTAATTCTATTCTGTGCATGTAAGTGTATCTTAGATTTGGAAATCATATAATTTCAACTGGGAAACTAAGCATCCAAGAACAAGCCAAGTTCCCAAATGCTGGAGAATTTCTGGAAGCCTAGCCCTCAGTATACATACATACATACATACATACATACATACATACATACCATTTAAAAGAGACAATCAAAAAGCCAAAAAATAAACAAAAAGTAAAAATATCAAAACACCTCTCACCAGCAAACAACACAGATGAGCAGATATTAACACCAAGAGAAACATTAGACCAACAATCAAGAAGCAAACAATATCCCAATCAAGAAACTGCCAAACAAACTGACAGGAAACAACAGCCCAATCAAGGAATTACTAAGACCATTCCAACCAAAACTGACAAGCCAAAACCAAGCTACTAGTGTATAAAATCAGAGCAAAACTCACACCCTACTAACACTGAATAGTTTGGTAATGAAATGTCCTGCAAGAAAACAACAAGCTCAGAGAGTGCCAAGGACTGCACATTAAATAAATAAAACAAATAGAAAAATATAAATAGAAAATGATAAAATTTAAACACAAAAGTAGATGTGGGGAAGGCCTATATTTTCTGGCAAATTAACTTCATGTTTCAAAGGTATGAAAAATGTAAAAGCTATGGTAATAAAATATTTTGTTCTGTGAAATAACAAATGAAAAGTCAATTTTTTTCATTTTCTGGTACTTGCTATTCTTAAAAGTTTTAAAAAAGTAAATGTTGATATTGTTAGTTTCTGTGGCAAGTAATCATCTGTAATAATCATTTTTATGTCAACTTTCCTATTTACAAATTTTCTTCTTTCCTCTAATTCAGTGGTTCTCAACCTTTCTAATGCCACGACCCCATAATATAGTTCTCCATGTTGTGGTGACCCCCAACCACTTATACATCACCGGGTGCCAGGGGCGTGGCCAAAGAAAAGGGGAAAAAAATGGCGGACAGCCTTGTTTGGCGACCCCCGTGAAATGGTCGTTCGACCCCAAATGGGGTCCCGACCCACAGGTTGAGAACCACTGCTCTAATTTGTCAGCTGCTTTATAATCAAACAGTTATTTTATAATCACATCAGAAATATAATTACATTTAATGTTTTAATTAATAAAATAAATCTGGTCTTAATAAAAATACTAAAAATCCAGAATATTCACAGAAAAATAATTTTTGAAATTTCCCAAAGTAATGGTGGACTATCAGTGGGAGATCAAAATTTATTCGTTCATGCTTACCAAGTGATCTTAGCTTAGTTGTTTGTACTCAGATTAACTTTATTCACTAAGTTTTTTGAGATAAATTAGAGAAATGGCAAAAGTGTTATAACTGTGTTGAATTCCTGCGGGGAGGGGAAGGAAGACTTACTATAACAATGTCATTTCCTCTGTTAACTAGAAATTATTTAATAATTCTCACCAATCTTGCACATAGTACATCTTTTCCCATGGTGCCTGAGCAAATGTAATATACTATTTGAGGGATTAGCCACAAAACCACTCCTGCCCTTGTATCATTACAGTGCAAGTTTAGGGTAGGCGAATCAACACTAATATCTGAACAGAACTGCAATAAAATACGTCTTTGTATCCTTGCCCTCCCACTTATGTTCATTCTGTGCAGGAATTCCCATTCCTTTTTCCTACTGTCACTTTAACACCAATAAGGCATAACTTATAATAGACATGTTTCTTTCCTTGCAATTTTTTATAAGGTATGCACATAAATAAGAACCAAAGTTATAAATTGTGATTTTCCTGTATATTTGTTCTTATTCAACAATGTTGAAAATAGTACAGTCTGTGAGGGAATTTGCCCACTGGTGCAGATGTAAGAATACTGAATGGCCAGTATATTCCTCTCTACCATAGAAATGAAAGCCAATGGCAATACGTTGTTGCACAGTTTATTATGTCTTCTTGGATGCTTTGTGCCCATAATTGATGTGGTAGTACTTGTCTGGAATGGAATGTCAACACTGGTTCATTCTGGTATTAATTACCTTCACTTCTCATGTTTGCAAACCAACACATCTTTTTGGCAAAATATCTTATTACCGGTAAGCTTATCATTAGCCTTATCTCTACGTTCACACAGGTTACTTTTTCTTCCAACATAGCTGCTGTTAGTATGGTCAACTTCTGTGTGTCTTTTCATATTTTATCTCATATTTTATCAAGATACCATTCCTTGTACTTGTGGAGGTCTAATATATAGGCATTAAGATTTTCGTGTTTTTATTTGTTTTCTATTTACTTTAAATTAGCAAGCTGTCAAAATCAAATGATATGCATTTAAATATTATTTTAACCACGTAGTACTTGCCATCTATTACAATTTTAAGTACTTTCACAGTTTGGGATGTAATCATAAGCATAAAAATATTATCAAGATTGCTCCAGTTTCACTAGGGCCATTCTGATTTCATGTCAAGATTTTTGGCTTCGTTAAATTGGAAGGAAATAATTTCTGTCAGATATTAATTGTGTCTGGCTGTTCATTTCTGCAATCATCTGGGACCAGCAACTTTATTAGATGTTTTGTTGAAAGTAATTATTTTCATATTACTGAATTGCTGTTGTTAAATAAACTGTTGGTTTGTCTGCTGTGCGAATGTAGTTGCAGTTCCTTGTTTTACATTACTGCAGTCTCCCTGCAGTTGGAGTTGAGAGTAACATGACTGTTACTCTGGATACTTTTCTTAACTGAAAATAGGTAGCTATGATCTAATTCAATGGTGGCGAACCTATGGCACGCATGCCGGAGGCGGCACTCGGAGCCCTCTCTGTTGGCACATGCGCCACCGCCTCCAACAGCAGGTCCATCAGGCTGCCACTGCTGCCCGGAGCAGGAGCCCCGCCCAGCACAAAGGCAAAGCGGCCGACTAGCAAGCTCAAGTGGAGGTGGTAGAGCAGAGATCACCAACCATTGTCAATTGATGGACTTGAAGAAAAGGGAGGGGGAAAGCATTTTACATGAGTGCATGCTCGCACAGGGCCATGAGCACGCATGCACTGCAAATGGGGCAGAGCTAATGCCTGCGTGATGCTCACCAGCCCTGCCCTGTTCTTGCGTGGTGCAGCGCCTTGTATCTGCACCCCACAGTGTGGCGGCGGCCGTTTTTGCACCTTGCAGCACAATGGCCCATTTTTGCACCCCTGGTTTTTGATGCCAGAGGCGGCACTCAGAGGTGCTTCCCTGTCCCCCTGAGGGCACCACAATGCTGATGCAGCCCTGGCACTTTGCAATAAATAAGTGGGTTTTGGGTTGCAGTTTGGGCACTCGGTCTCTAAAAGGTTCGCCATCACTGATCTAATTCATTCACGGTTATATTGCCTTTCTATAAATTATTGGTAATCTGATTAGCTGGTTCCTAACTAGTCTGTTAAATACACAGTCAGCATTTGGAATTATCACTAATTACCAGACATTGTCAGTTTCGAAACAGACAGAATATCTAAAAAACTAATTTAAAATCCTAGCAATAAGACACAATAGCAATTACAGGTAGTCCTTGCTTAGCAACTGCCTTGCACAGCAAGAGCTCACAGTTAACAATAGTGTTGAAAAAATAATTGTGGCCAATGCCCACATTTATAATTTTCATGGTGTTTCTCTCAGGTGTTTGCCATTACAGTTAGACAGTATGCATTGTCCTGTGTAAAATCATTAGCACAGTTGCTCTTAGGAACCTCTTTGTTTAATGCAACCAAGGATCATAAATATCCTGGACTTTAGCGAAGGTGGTAGTCCCATTAGGGGAGTCTGCCCAGCAGCTAAGTGGAGCCTGATTTTAGAGGGCTTGGAGTGATTTCCCTGACGATTTGGTTGGCAGCTATTTCATGACTGGCTGATCTATGAACATGGAGGTGTTCAGAGAATTAGATAAAATTAGTTGAATAATGGACTACAGGAAATGAAGTAACTGAATTAGAGTGATAGTGGTAAAAACACTAACATGGATGAAAGTAATAACTAATAATGGCTCAAGCCTACCCAAAAGTGATAAGACGAATGGACTGCCAGTTCACCTTAGTGTTTCTTGCACAGTCATGTGTAGAATGACTCTATGTATGTGGTACTGGCCATTTTGTTTTGGCAGGTCTGACATGGGATGCCATAACTATTCATGTATACCTTCCCCTATTTTTCTCCATGCATAAGTACCCTCATTTGCATTAGGCATGCTAATAATCCACATGTTGGATTCTAGCAGGACATGTTTAGTCATGTACTTTTTTTCATTAGCCTGGGCATTCACTTTGTCGCTTTGGAAACAAAACATGAACTTTATGACGTTAATTTTTATCACTTTGAGGACTTGTTGGACAAGTGCATTCTGGTAGCTAATAGATGTAGCAAGGGAATCCAGGTAGAAATTTTTAGAGAGAACGTTACTGTTGTTTCTGATGTACCCTTTGAAGACAGTCATGAACCTTTCTTTCTGCTAGATCGCAATGTGGTACAAAGTTTCCCTTGCTTCACAATACCCCAGGCTTATGACCTCCCAAGCTTTGTCATTATCAGTGTTTGAATGCTTAATGCATAGTACTATAAGGGTTAGTTCTCAGCCTGATTATGATTCAGGATATGGTATTTTAAATAAGCCCCTGCTACTTATACATTATCCATAAAATGAGTCTCTTTCTCTCCAATTCAT